TGTCTTCTCTGCTGCATCAGAAAAATACAGTAGCTGCTATTCTGGAATACCTTAACCACAGCAGATTTCAAAACATAAAATGAAGAGTCTGAGATAGGAAATGTATAAAGGTCCTGCCTAAAGGACATATTCCATTCATTCTACCCTACTCCGTCAGTAAACCATTAAAGTACTTCTTCAATCAACCCTGATTTACCTATACAGATACTGAACAGTGAACAGTTTTAAGGAGCAAATTGTCTTTATACTTCCCTAAACTATCAACTTTATATGGCATTACACATGCGCTCACACTAAAAAAAACAACAGATTCACTTTTAATGAACGTGGGTATAACCTGAAGTTCACATGTTGTTGAACTTTAGATCCAGATCCAGACCCAGCTACAATAGTCAATATTAAGTGACGCTGGGAGTTATAGTTCAATACCACCTGAAAGACCATGGGTTCCTCATTCTGATGACTTGGAAATACATCCCATTCTATTCAATCCAGTTCATTCCAAGCTGTACGATTATAGCTTAGAAGAAAGTACTATTTACAGAGATAATGTAAAATTTATAATTAGATTGTTGGGCTCATAATGGAAATCTATGAGTTTAAATATCTGCTTAGTTATGAAGTTCAGCTCACTGAATAATTTACAGTAAAACACAAAAAACCCACATTCTCATCTTAATCATCTGATATTATTGTTGTCACCCATATTAATCTCATTCGCACAGCAGACAGCAATGATGAAATAGCTGCCAGAATAATCTGAAACTGGTGAATGTGTTTATTAAGATCAATCAGAATTCACAAGCTTTTGAACTCTCAGAATTCTTCATCTGGCAAGTTAAAAAAAAGCAAGGTTGAAGAATTCTGGAAAACTTGAAAACTTTCTGTCCTATCCTGGGTCAGGCCTAGAATCAGAGAATTATAAAAGCATCCTTATACAATCTGAGGTCTAATTCCAAAAAGGATTATTTGCAGCTAAAGTGATATGTAGGGAAATAAATTGGTCCAGAAGTCAAAGTTCCAGAGAATGAAAACAAGAGAATGAGAATCAGGATCTGGTCAAGAATTAGTATGCTAGTGAAGTAAAAGCACAAAGGTAGCCAGTTACACAAATTCATTAACAATAACTTACAACAAGAAGCTACTTTCAAAGAGCTTTATAGCAGAGGCCCTATCAACCCCTCCATTACTCAATTGTTACTCATTAAGCCTGATCTGTTTGCAAGTTCATCTAAGTATTGTGTAGATTCATTCCCATGGTGGTCTTCTTACATCTAAGAACTCAGATGTGTCTCCACCAACAATATGGTAACTATGCCTGTTCATTTGGGCTAGGTGACTGCAGTGGACAAATCCTGATCAGAGTCCCAACCAAAAGATCTCTAACTAGTGGAAACTGATCCTGGTCCAAACCCTGTATTAGTTTGGTGGGATTGCCTTATCTATATTATTATTGTGGTGGTTATTATTATATTTTATATTCTGAGGAACCGAGAAGCTGCCACAACACTAGCACACTTGTGCCATTTTGGTTACATCTAATAAAGATATATTACCCAACTATGGAATTTAGATTTTTTTTATAGCCCAACATGGCTATGATTCTTTCTTTTGTCTGAGAATAAACAGCTTGAAATAGGTTTTAAATGTCTGTTTGCCTGAGTGCTTAATTTTGTTTCAGTTCTACATTGATTCAAAGATTTATCAATGAAAAGCCAAACTACTTGACTCTGCTTAACGAAAATTGAATTTTTCTGAAACTCAAAAAGAATCCATCAAAACCCAGCTTCCCCATTTATATGTAAGGCATCATTCCTGATTACTCTTTCTCTTCTATTGTGTCAAAGAAAATCCTCCACCTTTATTCAGCCTTATTTTAGTTAGAACCCAAGTGTTCCAGGCCACTTGCATTTGCTGTAAAATATGTTGTTCACTGCTAGCAAAGAAATGCACACTAATAAATATGCCTCTAGATTGTCCTTTGTCCAACAACTGATTGGGCCTCTGACTGCTGCAGCATCAAACTGGAAGTTAGGAAATGTTTACTCCGAGAAGGTATACTACCAAAAAAGAAAATGGATTTCTTGCCTTGCCAGAATATTCTGCCCCAACTGCAGCAGGACATCTGGACTGTCACTGTCTCTTAGGATTCAATTCCCTGTACACATTCTAGGTCTGCTTGATTACTCCATTTGAAAGTAGCAAGGCATTTCCTCACTGGCAAGTCATCAGGATCGTTTTGGAATTGGGGGTATTTCTCTTGAGCAGACATTTCTTCCTCACATGGTCCACTGCAGCCCTGATAACTGAGACTGCATGCAAATGAAGTGCAAATCATGATCCCCAAATTATACCAATATTATATTGCCTTCTGAGCAACTGCATAGCAATTGTGGCTTTTTTTCCAATTTACAGTTCTCCAGCTGACCAGCCATTTCTACCTGCCTGCCTGAGCAATCAGAGATCTTGTGCTCCTCTCAGCAGATTAAAAGGAAAGATGGGGAGGAGGGAGGTGAACATGCAGAGAATGGGAAGAATCAATGAAGCTGTGTCTTTTACAATCTGGAAGCCACATCTGCAACAGGACTGAAAGAGAGGTGGACTGCCCTCCTGTACAGAATTCTTTGAGCCCTTTGGACTTTATAATTAAAACAGATAGGCTACATGGTAGCCTTTGGCAAACTATATGCCAATTTGTTTATGTGTATTATCTTTGGTAGTAATAATTAATTGCATGTATTCAGAATGACAAACAGAATGCAACTAGAATAGATGCAGTATAGCTAAAAGCTTCTTACTCCATCATACCTTTCACCTACATGCATGCTCACTAGGCAAATACCTAGATTTGCACAGAGACAAATACATAAATTCATTCAGGCTTGAACATAATTATTCATATGCAAAATGAATCAGCTAACCCATCAAATTTCTCACTGCTGCCTGCCCAGCATGCTTCCCTGGTTGGATATACAGACTCTTTAAGCGTCCTGACAAAGAGCTTTTTCATCAGTGATAGTGAAAGTGCTATTTGACATGTCTGAATGTGAAATATATTAGTTAAACTACACAGATCAGAATGTATGTTTGGTTTAAAAATAGTTTTCTTTCCTTTCCTCTTCCCTCTTTTATACGCCAACACAGTGTATCAATGTCAGGCATGAAATCATGTTTCAGAGTCAGTCTCATACAGCAGCTTGAACGATGTTTGGATCATTTGAGTCACATTCAGCCTTTCATTCAGGAATGCAAGGGAACCTCCACAGGGCTCCCTTCTCCTACTTTTCTGCACAACAAACTAGTGAGGTAGGCTTTACCAAAGCAGACAGAGAGAGAGAATATGGCTAGTTCGAAGTTATCCAGTGAGCTTCTGTGACTGGTCCGTCTGGTGCCAGTTCAACTCCTTAACCTTCCCCAACACACACATGCACTAAATCAAAGTTCAAACCCCTGTTCACCTTCACTACTTCTCAGCCTATCCTCTCCTGTAGGTTTGGAGATGTTCTGAATTCCTTGGATGCTCTACAATTCTAAAGCATAAATGGTGCTACCTTGAAAAAGGAAGGCGTGCCACAGCCAAGTTCTGATTTGCAAAATCCAGTTAACGTGGGGCTTCCCCTCTGCAATTTTTTCATGGTTCGGTGGGGTTTTTGCAAAAACGAATATTCAATTAAACAGTTGCAAAACGTTAGGAATTATTTGTTGCAGGTCATTCTAAGGTTTCCAATTAATCAAAAACAGAACTCCACTTTATAGACTATGAACCTGAGACTCTGAACTACCCCAAAACTAACACTGATCATATTTCTGTAAGAGAAATAAAGACAAGTCCACCTATTATTAAAAACATGCTGAAAACGCCGTGGCTGTTGCAGAACCACCATACAGTAGCTGAACCTTTGTCTTTAGCATCCGAACTTTCCACCATTACTCTTTCTTACAAGAAGGACCTATCATTTCTGCCAGCCCCAGATCTGCCAAATCTTAGCAGACTTCGAGAGTGCTTCTTCCCCCGTGACCCACCACGAAAAAGTTTCTCCCTGGGCTTTGCTGAACTAGGCGCAAGACGCAGGGGTGCACCGTCCTAGCAGCAACCTTTTGCTCCTCGGCGGGGCTGCGCGGGCAGTCCGTGTCGTGAAGCAGTCAAGTGCTGACTCACAGTACAAACATGGTTGCTGGCAGGAACCCCGGCTCCGAATGTTTTGTGGTCGGAATGGCTTTTAACAAGCTTTAATCCACTATTTATTGACTTAGCCGTTCTCCTCGAGGCACCAGCAAAAGTGAAACTTCGCAGGCGCCGACTCCCAATCGGCGAGGCTATCTGGGGGCAGAGCAAACTCTCGCAGCGTAAGGACACCGCCGGCCCCACGAACCATCCGCCTCCCAATATCATCAGAGCCTTCAAGTTTCAGCATCCCGAAAGAGAGCATGGACCTCGTTTTCCTTTGCTCTTCTCTCCAAGCCTCGCGACAGAAACGAAACAGCCTCTCAATAAATGGGAGCAGAGACTACACAATATGCGTAACCCCCCCCGCCCCGCCCCCAGCAACACCTACATGCGCACAGATCTATTCAGGGTCTTCCTATTTTACCGACCCTGAGCATAACCCGGTTTTTTTCTTTTAATCCTCCTGTTACTTATACACGTCATAAACATGCGATGTGTCGGTTGCAGGTTCGTTTTCTCTGCATCACCGCTATCGCTGCGGCGGATCTGCGAACGCCTGCCAGAGTTGTTCCTGCTTGATCCTGCAGTAAGTGTGCATTAAACACACACA